GGGTGGCCCCCGCCGTGATTGTCGGCGGCGGGCGTGTCGGAAGGGCGTTGCAGGAAATGGGCAGTGGACATGATTTGCTGGTGAAGAGAGGAGAATCTGTGCCTCTTGATTTCGATGGACCCATTTTGGTTTGCACGAGGAACGATGATCTCGATGCTGTTCTTGATTCCACTCCTCAGTCTAGATGGAAAGGTATAACCTTTCTTCTGACCCACTAACAGTAACGAAGAATTTGAGCATCTTAATTTGGTGTTTCGATTGGACACGTTGTAGAAGAGCGTTTCTCTAGGTTCAATTCGAATCTCATTTCACATTTCATAAGGATTTGAATCATCAAGTTTGATGATTTGATCGGTTATCTGGAACAAGATTATTCTGGATCGTCAAAAACCGGAGTTACTTATTCTGCCAATACAAGTCCCGTTTCTGTTGTTCATGACAGTTTTGTTGGTTCTGATATGACGCGTCAGATTTGATATTCTTCCAAAATGGGATGTTGGAGCCATGGTTTGAGAGCAAAGGTCTGGGAGAAGCAGACCAAGTTCTGGCTTATTTTGCTGTGTCAAAGCTCGGTGAGCCTCCCATCGATGGCAAGACCGACACTAACCCGGAAGGTCTGACCGCCTCTTATGGAAAATGGGCTTCAGCCGTTGCTGCCAGATTGCACTCTGGTGGCCTCTCTTGCAAGGTACAAGTCAAAAGGACCAAACTTTGTTGTCAGTTTTTCCGTAACTGAGAGATTGAAGTTGTTTCTTTTTTCTGTTGATCATATGACAAAGGTTCTTGACAAAGAAGCATTTCAGAAGCAAATGCTGGAGAAGCTTATATGGATATGCGCATTCATGCTTGTTGGAGCTCGCCATCCAGGTGCTACTGTGGGCGCCGTGGAGAAAGAATACAGAGATGAAGTACAAACATATACCTCAGATTTCTTCATTAGCATTCGAACAATGTCGTAAAATGTTCTTTTAGCTCATCCGTGTTCATACATACATGAATCCAGGTCTCAAGCCTCATCCAAGAACTAGCAGCAGCAGCAGAGGCGGCCAAAGGGTTATCCTTTGAAGACGGGATGGTGGAGAGACTATGTGCTTATTCCCGAGCTGTTGCCCATTTTCCGACCGCTGTTAAGGAGGTATATACGTCACCATCATCATCGCTCTCTCCATATTCATGCCAGTAGTACTTATGATCCTGAATGTATTTCTGGGTTAATGCAGTTCAAATGGAGGAACGGTTGGTTTTATTCGCTGTCAGAGAAGGCGATTGCAGAAGGGAAACCCGATCCATGCCCCCTCCACACCGAATGGCTTAAAGAGCTAAAAGTGATATAAAGTGGGTCCAAGCATATGCCATCTCTTTTTAGTTCTTTCAAGCTTCTATTTCATTCTCGGTTCGAGTAAGACTGCGTAGCCAAAGCTGACACGAGGTTGGGAGATGAGAAGCCTCAAGGCGAGATCCACCATATTCATATGAAAATATTACATGTTACATTTCAATATCACAAAGGAGATCCTTTTTCCTTCTGTGAATCAATCTATTGAACAATGCTGACTTAAATCATCTAACACACCAGCAGAAAGAAACTATAGATTATCCTATGAACTATTTCTCCATGGAAGTATGCTGATACAGTCTCCCTGAAACAGCTGCGGCTAGAGCTGCTGTAAAGTTGGGATCTTTGGTCAGAGAAGAAGCCATCTGTTCCACCAAGAGTTTCTGAACTTCTGGTAGATCGATTATTGAGTTCTGATTCTTGGAGGTACCACGAGGCTTCTCAGATCCGGTCAGGTCAATGGTTGTGGCGGGCTCAGGCCTGTTGGCTGCAGTCGGGGCTGAAGCCATCGCTATATAGCTCTTCGAGCCAGCGGTTGCTTCCATCTGTGAAGGCATTGGATGGTTATGCTCACCCTCATAGGTTGCAACCAACACGGATTGATCCTCCATGCTTCTCTGCACCTGAGAAACCAAAGAGAAACACATTTATATTTGAGTTTATCGTTAAGAGATTGGATTTTTGGATTCGGGATTTTTCCCAAAAGTTTGGAGTTTTTTTTAGCGAATCAGTCTACCTTCTTTTTGACATGACAATTCGGAGCAAATGCGCATCTGAAGTAAGCTCTTGGAGATGGATTGTCCCTTGTGACCTTCTGTCCATATTTCCTCCATTGATACCCGTCTTTCACAACCTAGAAATTTCATGGCAAAAAAACAAAACTGATTCAGTAATCAGATAAACTCCTCGATCAAAATAACAAAAACCCATCAAATGTCCCAGGCCAAAGTTCCAAACTTTAAGGAATCAACACACCAAAGCCAACAATATGTCATGTAAAGTTCGATCCTTGTCCACAAAAATAAAATAAAACAAAAAAGATAAAAGAAACCGAGGGGCTCACAAGGCTAGTATCAGAAGCTTCAGTCTTGTAATAAACCCTGGAGACCTTCTCCTTGATAACAGTCTCTTCCCTCTGCTTCTTACACAACTCATCTTGTTCAGTAGAACTGCTCTCGGAGACCCCGATGACGTCATCTTCATGAACTCTCGCCGGAGATTTGCGTTTCTTCGACGGACTAATCTCTCTCTCGTTCTCGTTGACATACATAATCAACTGTTTCTTCAACGCTTTGTAATTTTCGCACACGGCAGTTAGCATCTCCGACAGCTTCTTGTTCTCTGCGTTCACGCGGTTTAGTTCCTCGACCAAAGCACTCTCCTGCAAGACATATATATGTATATATATCACCAGACACGTGATGTTACAACTAATTAATCGCCTCATGTTAATGTGGTTTTTGTGATATAGATATCATATTATCATATTTGGTCCGGTTTCCCTGATCTCCAAGAAAGTACATGAAAATGATGAACCCATTGAATACTTACAAATTCTTTTACCACGTCTTCTAACCGAGTCATAAATCTTTGCCAAAAGTATGATATTCCACGTGTTTAAAGTGCCTTAATGACTGGTTTGTAACTCCAAAAACTCTTAAAATTTTCAAGATTTCACTCTTGGAATCGGTATATATATATGAAGTTTTGAAGAAGTGAAGAATACAAGTCTTACAAAAATGAGTTCTGGAAAAAATTAGCATACCGTGGATTTATCAACCTGCATATGAGTAACGCCGATGCTGAGATCCAGAGAAGTGTCGACCCAAGGCGAAGAATACTCCATGTATGTATGTATATATGTGTGTGTATGTTTGTATACCTCGGTATTGGATCTTGTGAATCTTTCCCTGATGCGTGTATATATATATATATATGTATATATATGACTTCCAAAGCCGAATGAATTGTTCAGAGATATTCAGAGATTTGTTTTGGTACTTTTGAGACTTGGTCTGTGTGAAGGGCGAAGAATTGGTGAATATATATAGACGCGTATATGTGTGTGTGACTGTGTATAGAGAGAGAGAGAGAGAGAGAGAGAGAGAGAGAGAGAGAAATTAAGGCACGTGCTTCAATGTACATGCAATAAAAAAATGAACTACTATGACCCCTTGGGAGACTCGGTTTGGGTCCACTTGCGCATTCATGTTCCCCCTATTCAAAATAATAATTAAATTATACACTATACGTTTACCCGCGGATAGATGACGTGGATCAACATATTGTTTGTTTTTTTGTGTATTTCTACAATTGCCCACGTTTTTTTCCCTCTATGAATGATATTAAAACCATATATTAACACAGACATCTGATCATACAATCGTTTATTGAAATTATAACGTTAATATAATAAAACGTGCGATAAAAATAAATAAAACAAAACACTCGTATACACTAATTGTATTTTACAACTATCGACGTATATGATGGAAAATGTATGAACTTTACGACAATAACATTTAAGAAATTAAAAATAATTCGAAGGGTTGTTAGAGTCTTGATCATATATAAAAGTCTATAAGGATTTTGTATGAGAGAGACGTGGGGATCAAGGATTATAATGCTTATTGTAATGACGGGCGTAAATAGTATTTAAGGTGTGCTCATGAAAGATTCTCACTAAAGATATATATACACACACACACACATATATATATAGTTTGTGTGTGCGGAACGTGGTTTATATGTCAACGGATATTGATTATATATTATTTATTATCATTATTAATTCATGTATTGCCTTTTAAGGTCAAAGTCAACGCCCACATGGTGTTTCAAAAGCTAGTGGACCATTGGGATTGGAACAGTTTTGACAATTTCGTTTGATGAATTTTGTCGAAATCTAATTTTCTTCTTTCTTCATCTTTTTTTTTTCTTTTTATTTATGTTTTTGTTCGTCTGGTCTTGTGCTAGAGGAGTTCCAATTTGACCCGACGTGTCTTTCTTCTTCTCATGTCTTGTCTCTTCTCTTTCGCTGAATTATATATATATATATATATATATATACACACACAAAACCAAACTCCATAATTTTATTTAAGAAATTAAACGCATAATACACATATATATACATACATAGCTCAAGAATGCGCTCAACACATAGAATGGTATAATTAATGTATAACTAAAGGTCGCATAGTTTCAATGTGAATCTTGTGTGTGTGTGTGTGTGTATATATATAGGGTATATTCGTTAGAGAAGGAATCTGTTATGTTTGGATTTTATTAAGAAATAAAATTCTTTTGTAATCATTTCAACAGTGATTATTAAAGTTGATTACAGTAAGAAATGTGAACGTACACGCAAAGATAATCCAAAAAGCATGGGTGATAATCTGTTTTTAATCTTAGGCTTTAGAGATAATTACCAAAAGAACCTCGGCTTTATAATGCTTATCAACACTCCACGGATTTGACTCGGAGAGTTGATTGCAAATCCGACGACTCCTAAATCAAAGTACGTCCCCACATGTAACATTTTTCCGACCTTGGAAAAATATTATCCAAATTATTTAAATTTGAAACATCCATTGTTTACTTTTTTATAAAAAAGAATTGTTTATGCATTTGACATGATAATACAAAAGACCGTTATTCTTTGATATGCAGCAACTTGATTGAAAATTATGCATAAATTGACGATTAAGACTGAAATTAATTTATGTTTACAAATTTTGAATGGTATGCATATATATATATATATATATATATATATATATATGTTATGGCACGAACCAGTATGTTTACAGCAATGTTGGGACATCAAAGCACAAATACCTTTGACTATTCAATCATGAAAATTGAATCCATGGATATAGCGATTGATGGGTATAAATGTAATTAAATATTAAATAAAATACCAAATTAATTATATTTTTGGAAATTGAATTATAAAAGAATGATTTAAAAAAATGGTCGGTGATGGGGAAAGGGGGTGACGTCACTGATGATGAAGTTAGTGTATCCAAATGGACAAATTCAACGACGCTAAAATGTTTTTTTATTAACGAGGACTTGACCTCGTTGACCATTGACCACATGAAAAATGTCACACGTGTGCTTGATTCGGTTTACCCCCACGACCATCATCCCTTTTCTCTCTCTCTACTATATATTAATTTAGTTTTGATTTTTACAATACAAAAAATAACACGGCTCCTTATTAATTAAACTAGTATATTATTTGTAAACTAATCAAGTCTCCACTCCATTAGGAAACAATTTGTTTTTAAAATAAAAACGACATATTAATATACACATTTATCATTATACTTAATAACAAAATAATATTTATCAATATTATCGTATAAATATCTAGTAAATAAAATTTTTATAATTGCAAGTTGAAACCTGCATTATTGCATGGAGGCATACATCAGATAAATCATTTATCGTCAAAAACTTATATATTCCATAATTGCTAATTGATAGTAATTTATTGATAACGATGATTTTTTTTAAATAGAGATTTGCAAATGAAAGTTGACTCATTTTTTTTTATCAGTTTTGATGACGATGAGTTAGTTATATTTTGAATAATTATATATATATATATATATATATATATATAAAATTCAAACTATAAATCAAAGATTTGGTAGAAAATGAGAGTAAAAGTTTTTTAAATACCTATATATATTAAGGTTATAGTGTTTTATATATTTATTGGGTTAGCAAGCATTAGCCCCGCGAAATGCAATGAACTTAGGTAAATGGCCAACCTCTCCGGACAACCTTTCTTTTGGTTACTTGGGTTCATTCATGAACTCATTTTCTAAGGTTGTATCTGTTTCTTGTTCCTAGTTGACGTGATTTTGGTTCGGTGTCCAAGTCCAATTAATCGTACGACCATACATATATAATGTACGAAACCCAAAGACTAATCCAAAACATCATGTTAGGTTGCATTTTTACATTTTCCTTAACCTGACTTTGTCCTTTTTGGAATATGTTCGACGTTTTGTCAATTACATATTAAGCATAATACTCAAATATTCCGATGGTTAGACGTTTTTATTTTTATTTTTTGTCATTTTCTTGGTTTATGTTTTATTATCTGCCCTATTTATTTTTTGTTATTATTTAAATGACCATTTGTGGTTGTTGGCCGACCAAAAAAGATAAAGCCCCCAATCGATTCATGGTATGGTCTGCTCTCGGTCGAATCCTATCAATTCCCAACTATCATGCTATTGACCAATTCCTGACTTGTGCTAATTGCACGTGTCTAATTTTCCACGTTTTTTAATGGATGTGGATTGGTGTATGATAAACCCAAAGCCCAATCTCAATTTAGATATCATTAACACAATAATCATTGTGAACGGCTTGGGCCCTTGGCCCAAATTTATGTATTATAAATTTTTTTTCTTATATTATTTACCGTGACAAAGTCTACATGTTGAATTATACTCATTGATAACGATGTTTTGTCTTTCAAAATTATAAATCATTATTATCTAGTATCCAATTGGATAATTCTAATGTGTAGATAACATTTTAATCTCAAAAGATAAATTGTTTTGTCGTAAGAAAGGGTTACGAGATGATAATTAAAAATAAAATAAAATAAAAACGTCCGAACGATGAATTGTGCAATCAGGTATTAGAATTTTCAGGTCGTTCATTTAACAAACCCTTTTTTACTGGATGAAATATTGAATGAATTGATAATAAATTATGAGATTTTACGGTTCTTTTCTTTAGAAAGGGGGTATTAATAAAGAATTTTTTTAATAATTCATAAGTTCACCGGTACTTTACACGTTACCTTCACATCATATTACTAAAAATCTGGATTATATAAAACTTACGAAATATATATTTTCATGGGCCCGATGTTTATGATAAAATAGATATGTTTTTATACTTCAAGTCAACTAGAAGACTTTGATAAACTATATGTATTATATATATTTTTTTCCAACTTGACTGATTTGGTAAAAAAAATATCTACCAAATTATAATAAAAAATAAAAAAAATAAGATTATACATATATATATAACTTACTCTATAACATATACGATTTTATATTTACAAGTCAACAGATGAGTATTTTTTGCAAGGTTCTTGCCCTCGCTGTATCCGTGACTTAGAGCTCAACGGTAATGGAAAAATACGCATGACAATATATATTAATGAAGGCCTATTAATTAGGGAACGTAAATCTGGAGAATTATAGGAGAAAATATATAATATATGGTATTTATGTGATATCTGAAGAGTATAATTGAGAGGAACCCGAGTCAATGCAATGAACAGTTGTTATTCGCCCAACTTTCTACAAAATTCGCTCTTACTTTATTTTTTCTAACAAACCCATGCATCAATATATCATATTTTATATAGTTTCAAATAATCAGGTTCTTTTCATGCGAGCCACTGCTTTTTAACAAATGCTACAGTTTGTTTGAGAAATTCTAATTTTTTAAAAGTTATAATGCAAATTATTCAACACCAACAAAATCAGATTGGAAATATATACTCCATCCATTTAAGTATCATTCTATTTTTTTTTATGTAAATATATCATTTTTCAAATCTAATTTTAATTTCTATAATAAATTATATTTTTATTTCTACAAATTAAATTGAACAATTTTTTAAACAGATATATTAAATAAGAATATTTTAGAAACTTTATTTATTGTTTTAAAACTTTTAGAAGGCAGTTATAGTATACGAAAACAAGAGAGGACCACCTTCCACCACAAATAGATTGAAAATATATACTCCCTCCGTTTCTAAAAAAATGTCATTTTAGATTTTTTTTTCACGGTTATTAAGAAAAGTATAGAAAAAGGAATGTATATCCCTATTAAATTATATTTTTATTCTTTTTTATTGAGATTAATTTTTTTAATTAAATTATAGAATTGTAATTTTTTTTAGAAAATCATCTAGAAAATCTAAAATGACATCTAAGTAATAATAACAAATATTTTGTAAAACGATATTTATTAAAAAATGGAGGGAGTACTTTATTTATTAAAAGAAACACGAATACTGTAGGGATGTCAATTAAAATAGAAGCTCGAGAGTGTTCATGGAAGAGGGAGGGCCGTCCGATTGTACTTTGATTACCGAATGAAATGGAAGGGACCCACCTTCGATAGCACATCGTTGTCGGAAGCTTACTCGCTTCTATACGGGACCCTTTCCAAAGATTCCTGCAATAAATATTTTAAATATGTAATATATATATATATATCAACAAATCTTGAAAATTCTGAGATTCGCAATTGATCTTAAATTTATGCAGACACTTGTAAGGTTTCAACAAGGAATTTTTTTTTTTAAAAAAATCGAGACTAATTTTCACAAATAGAGTTTCGAGTTGTCTGCATGAGAAGAGGTTTTCAATAACATATATGTTTTTTTTTATGTATATGATATTCGATGTTTCTATAAGTCAATGAAATTCAGCATGGAACAGCCGATTTGCTTAAGCTTATCCTCACATATAATATGTAAGGTCCAATTTCACATTGAATATCATTTGATTCACATAACGACAAAAAAAATTGTGTTTTAGATGGGAGTCAACGGTAGGGCGGTGACAATGAAGCCCATGTTTATAATTTCATTTCATCAAGGAGTCCATAATTTATATATATATGTTACGATTTTTCTTTTTGGCCTAATATATACTATCTCTGTTATAACTAAAAATATTTCGGTATGTAATAATCTACATATCCATGGTTGAGAACTATCTTCAGCTCTGGAAGAGATTTTTTTTTTGTTTTTTTAATTTGTCATGAATCGCGTTTTGACAATAAGGCATACCTATATATGGAGCTAAATGCATATTAACCACTGACATTACTTTCAGTGTACACATATGCATGCATATATGCGGGTATATATGCGAAATATCCAATAAAAAAATTATGTTTTATTTTTATTTAATGCGCATCGAATCCTGCGTGTGATGATGGTTCTACGAATTCCATCATTCGGACGACTTTGTTCGGTTTGGTTATTGGTGGTTCGGTTCTTTAATAAATTGATTGGTTCGGTTATTCATCAAACAGAAAAGCTCGAGTTCTTAAACATACTGCTAGAGACTCGGAAACTGAAATAGAATAACAAGCCGAACCAATATTTCCAATAGGTAACATTGACAGACCAAATCAAATCAATTCAATAACCGGATATAACCAACTGAACCAGAAATAACCAAATAAACCGATCGAATTCCCCGTTTTGGAAAAAGATTTGATAAAACGGAAGAACCACAAGAGACACAAAGACTCGTCTTTGTCGGAACCGTGAGACCTTCTCTCTGTCTCCACCTTTTTAGAGTTTCCCTTTTTCTCTCACTCGACGATTCCGAGGTTCGTACAAAACCCATGTGTTTTAATTTCACACCCTAACAGCCCTACCTACGTTAATTTCCCAATATAAATATGTACCGGTGATACTAATTTTTTTACGTGAAAAATAAAATAATTATAAAGTTTTTGGAATTTATCTTTAGCTACAAAATAAAATAAACTGAGAGTCAATTTATTAAAAAAAAAAATCCAAAATGATTATGTGACTGTATCTTAATAAAGGATTACTATAAGTCGAGTGTTGTATGACTTTCGGTTTATTGCATAATCTATGTTTAAGTTGCGTGTTTAACTTATCAATCACCATTTTTCGATTGGAATTACAAAAAAAAAAAAAATATTCGGATATCAGCCATCTTCATCAATATTAACGGTATTTTTTTTTCATTTTTTTTTATAATCGTTATCCTGTTTACCAAATAATTATCCAAATAAATTATTAAGTCAAGTAGATCACAGTGGCATTTTTGTTATTTTTTTCTTCAAAAAATATGATTTCCACCCGATTTTCTTGGTTTATAGAATTTTTCTCCAATTTTGGCGATTTCTCAGATGGCGTGTGTATATATATTGATGTTCGTGTTGTAGCTGTTACATTGGGATACGAAGATATAGAAAACCCGGAAAGGAAAAGAACAGACAAAAAAAAAAAAAGCTAAGATATGGGGGATACGACATCTGGGCAATCCCAGTTCATCGCCAGTGTCGGAAATCGGAGCTTCGCGAACTCTCCTTTGATCGAAAACCCAGATTCCAATCAGATTATTGTCCCTGAGGTCCGTTTTTTCTTGTTCTTTTTAATCTCTTTGAAATGAAACTTGACGTCCGTGTTCCTGATTCGGAATTCGTTTTTGTTCATCTCAAGATTGCGTCTTTTTCGTGATCCTGCGAGGAGCAGATGAACATGCAGATCTGCCATTCTAGGCTTAATCAGTAGTTAGTGGCTAACCATCTCGTTAATTGCAGGATTAATTGTAAATTAATACTCGCTGTTGTGATTAAAACTTAAACTCACCAAACCAAGTCGACTTTTCTTCTCAACAACTTGGTTTAGAACATCCACAAGTGCTTAGTTCTTTGATGCTTTCAGTTAGAATCAGCTTCATGTCTAAGAACAATGTCTGGTCTGAATCTGAAACTGATCTTTTGTTGGGATCAGTTGTGGAACTAATACCTTTAAACGGTGAAAACCTTTGATTCTTGAAGCAGAGTTCTTGAGTAAATGGCTGTTGATTTCTCGGTTTATGCAGAAGAAGTGCTGAACAACTTAACTTAGTTTAGAACTTTACAAGTGCTGAGATCTCTGATACTTTGCTTAGAATCGGTTTCATGTCTCAGAACTATGTCTGGTCTGGATCCGAAACTGATATCTGGTTGAGATCAGTTGTGGAAACCCTGATCATATGTTTGGTTTCTTGATTTGAGGCCCTTTTTTCTATCTTTCATGTTCATGGTGAAATTTAATCTTGAAAACCTTTGATAATAGATTCTGGTTTCTACATCTCTGATTCTTGAGGCAGAGTCCTTGAGAATCGCTATTGATGTTTCGGTTTATGCAGAAGAAGAGCTGGAAAAACTTCTTTGCATACTTAGGTCCGGGGTTTCTTGTTTCGATCGCTTATATTGATCCCGGAAACTGTAAGCTGATCCTTTCGCTGTCTTTACACACTCGGGTTTTGTGCTTTCTGGTTGTTACACAACTCGATGCTTTTTTTTTCCTTCTTTGTGTTTCAGTTGAGACCGATCTGCAATCAGGAGCACAATATAAGTACGAGGTTTGTTCTTTAGCTCTTCTGTTTTTTACCTTTTGCCCGTTTTTTCCTTTCGGTCTCTCGTCTTTACAAACTCTCTGCTCTCTTACTCAGTTGCTGTGGATTATATTGGTGGCTTCTTGTGCTGCTCTGATTATTCAGTCTCTGGCTGCAAACCTCGGCGTTGTCACAGGTTTCTTCTGAAACTCTTCGGTTTTATCACTGAAGTGTATCTACTACCATAGACTATTTGTTCTTACTTATCTCGAAACGCTGCTACTTGACGATAGGAAAGCACTTAGCTGAGCATTGTAGAGCGGAGTACTCAAAGGTTCCGAATTTCATCTTATGGGTCATAGCAGAAATCGCCATAGTCGCATGTGACATCCCGGAAGGCATGAATTTCTCCTCAAAATGTTGTTCGATGCTTCCCTGTCGAAGTTTTCTATGTGCAGATGTTGACAATTTCGGATTCTATATGCAGTTATCGGGACAGCATTTGCTTTGAACATGCTCTTCAACATCCCGGTTTGGATCGGTGTTCTTCTAACGGGACTAAGCACACTGGTTCTTCTTGCACTGCAACAGTATGGGGTACTGTTTCATATCTTCTCTTGATTTGATTATTACATACAAAGAGCTTACTTTCTCTGGTAAAAAAAATTGTACTGTTCTTGATTTGAACAGATCAGAAAACTCGAATTCTTTATTGCCTTTCTCGTGTTCACCATTGCTATATGCTTCTTCATTGAGCTCCATTACTCAAGGCCAGATGCAGGGGAGGTCCTTCACGGTCTCTTCGTACCTCAACTAAAGGGGAACGGTGCAACCGGCCTTGCCATTTCCTTGCTCGGAGCCATGGTTATGCCGTAAGCTAACTTCCCCGCTGGTTAGAAGCTTTTTGATAGTATTCTTCTCGGGGGGAAGGCTTCTAATATCTTTCTCGCAGGCATAACCTCTTTCTACACTCGGCCTTGGTCCTCTCAAGAAAGATTCCCCGTTCAGTTACCGGCATCAAGGTAATGCTTTAAATCTATGTAATGTACTTATACGTGTGTAGATATATTCATCTCTGACTTTGCGGGTTTTTATAGGAGGCTTGTCGGTTTTACTTGATAGAAAGTGGGTTGGCCCTTATGGTGGCGTTTCTCATCAACGTCTCCGTGATATCAGTGAGCGGTGCAGTTTGCAAAGCTCCGGACTTGAGTCCAGAAGATCGAGCAAGCTGTGAGGATCTTGACTTAAACAAAGCTTCGTTTCTGCTACGGGTAATTCATCCTCTCGTTTCCGAACGAAAACAGCTTGTAAAATCTGAAAATTTTAACTTCTGATAAGCCTATTGTTCTTGTTGTTTGCAGAATGTTTTAGGTAAATGGAGCTCAAAGTTTTTCGCTATCGCGTTACTTGCTTCGGGCCAGAGTTCAACGATAACAGGAACATACGCAGGACAATATGTCATGCAGGTGATCAAAACCGGACACCCTTTTGTCCGGTTCTCGGGTTGCGTTGGTGTTTTTCGGATTTTCGCAAACTGATCGATTCTCTTCTTGATTTTTGCTCAGGGTTTTCTTGATCTACGGCTTAAGCCATGGATTAGGAACCTCTTAACCAGGTGCTTGGCTATAATCCCGAGTTTGATCGTTGCCCTCATCGGCGGTTCATCCGGAGCAGGAAGGTTAATCATCATCGCTTCGGTAACGATTGAACGAAATCCACAGATCATATTTTTACGAATTCCGATTAAATTCTCTGCATGAATCACCGGTGTTATGTATTAACTCTTTGTAGATGATCTTATCGTTCGAGCTCCCATTTGCTCTCGTCCCGCTTCTCAAATTCACCAGCAGCAAGACTAAGATGGGATCGCATGCCAACACGCTTTTGGTATGTAAAATTTCCCGAAAAAGCTCGGAAACTCACCGATCTATCTCGTTTTCTTACCTTTTTTTCCTTTCCCCTACAGATTTCATCCTTGACTTGGATCATTGGAGCACTGATAATGGGCATAAACATATACTACATAGTGAGCAGCTTCATCAAGGTGCTTCTCCATAGCCACATGAAGCTTGTGGCCGTCGTCTTCTGCGGAATTCTCGGGTTCTCGGCCATTGCCGTCTACTTAGCCGCCATTGCTTACCTCGTACTCCGGAAGAACAGAAAGTCCACTAATCTTCTAGCCTTGACGACGCCGGAAAATTCTCAGACAGTGGAATCACTTCCGAGAGAAGACATTGTAAACATGCAGTTGCCGAGTCGAGTGACTGCTTCTTCTGACGTCAATTAATCATATCATATCGATATAGGATCAGATCGATAGATTATATGGTACTAATAATCATGGTTCTAGCGACATGAACTTTGATGGTTTAAATGCAGGTTACCGAGTTTCATGCCATAGTTGAATGTTAGAGCCAAGAAAATGCTGAAATAAAGACACAGACTTTGGTTCATATCATTTTCAGACATCAAACCGAATAATGTAAGCGACAACCTTCTGCTATGCTCATAGTACAGATTCATCACCACTGTCTCAAATGGGGATTTGGACGAAGATTTCACATAACCCAACAGAAAACAGATTGACATGAAACCTAGCAAGTATACAATTTCATGACATTAGACGACGTTTCTTAGCATCTTCCCTGCATCGATATATATATATATATATATGCATATATCATGGTAAGGCCACTCCAGGGAAAGTGAGGAGATCAGATTTTAATGGCGTTTTGGTTGGATTGCTGGGGAAGTGGGAGATGGCCCTTCTCTTGCAAGCTCTTGACCGTCTCGTAGATGCTTTGTTTGACCGGTGTGAGCTCCAATCCCAAGTCTTTGATCTTCTGGTTCGTGAATTTGTAGGGTTTTGCCCTCGGGTTCTTCTCGTCCGAGCACCTGAAATACGTACATATACACCTCCAAAGCTGAGTAAAATACAAAGAGATATGAAACACACACACACACACACACACATATATATATACACATTCCCCTATTCCTACCAAACCGTTCTTACATTTGTGCAGGTCACAGAACCATCAACTTTAAAAGTTATAATTAAACGTATAGTTTGTGGACCATAATGTAAGTACTTGATTGTGGACTTACACACATGATATCAACGGAGCAATATGTACATCATTCATGGCAAGTTCTATTGCATGGGACCGGGGTTTATCACCAGCCGAAGGGCTGTGGCGGGTTCCCACCATTACCAACAAAAACAGAGTATGTTGTATTTCTTGTAGCTTACTCTAATGTGACGTAAGAAACACGTAAAAACGACGTTAGTTTACATCGTTTTTACGACCGAGCATGGGCAGGTAAAAGACAAGAGACTCAATTTGTCAAGCGAAAGCTCATGCCCCTACCTCCATTAGAACCTTTCTTTTAAACTATATCTATTTAAACATTGCTACTAGATAATAATCCAAAGGGCTATAATTCCCAACTTGTCATTATCTATTGTTGGTTGGTGACGGATGCCATTGACTGGAGAGTTGGTCCACCAACTTGCCCACATATATATATATATATATATAAAAGAAATGGAATATGGGACCAAAACCCATCCATTACAAAACTTTGAAAATGTGCATGCATGTGAGTGTATACAGACATGTATATACGAACGTGTATTATATATATAGAAGGCTTCTAAGCTAATATTTAGATAATCAATCATATATAACAATATTTTCTTCCAAATAAGTAATAACGTTGAGGGAGATGGGTCGTTATCTTAAAAGCTACATAAGATCCGCCATAGTGTTAAGAAACAAACATGAAATGGTCAAATAAGTGGAAAAACGTGGTAGGTGAAGTGGTCTTGTTCAGTTGGAAAACGTCATTTTACTCCGCCACGTGTTTCAGAGTCATTTAATACCCAAGAACGAAAGCACAAAATCTGGGTCGGAAGTGAATAATAATTAAGGTATGGAAGAAAATCCAAGAAAAGAATTCTGATTGGACCGTAATATATATATATATATATGGATTTCCATGTTGTTCAGAGATGCAAGTTAAACCGATGCACATCCATTAATGGAATCAACCCACCAACACCGAATTAGCCTAACTTGAACACTAAATCCTAACTCTATAATATATATATACGTTGGGTCAACAGTTAGATACTTGAAGAAGAAAAATAGGGTAATTCGGGCAAGTGGAAATATCCCTATATCAGAAACCAAACCTAAACCAATGATCGAATTTCTTATGAATGTGCGTAATAATCACACAATATACTCTACTTACTGTTATATGTTTGACAAAATTAATAATTTATTTTCACTGTTATAACTAGTTTTGTGAGACTAAATCATGCAGTTTCATAAACACACGGGACAAGAACAGAGTGTTCAGAGCTGCTTACTTGGTCGGGAGCGGGTACTCGGGGAAAAACTTGGCCAAGATCTCAACAACCTCGCCCCGGTGAAGCGCACTCTCGGCCAGGATGTAACGGCCGGAGGCCGAGGGCGACTCGTAGACCAAAACGTGGGCCAAGGCCACGTCTCGGACGTCCACGTAAGCCTGTGTCAAGTTGGCATAGGTCTTGGCCGAGCCGGTGAGGTACTTGAGTATGTGAGTTAGACTGGCGTTAACCACCGGCTGCAATGGCGGTCCCAGGACCAGGACCGGGTTCATCACCACAAGGTCCACTCCTTTCTCTTTCGCCTCCTCCCATGCCGCTTGCTCGGCCACCATCTTTCCATAGCAATACCAGTTCTGCAAAAACCATGAGCTCGTATGCATATATACATCTATTTGATACTCCAATAAAGGCATTTTACTCGAGAGAATCTGTTTTCAGACAAGTTAAAACCTTGGTGTTCTTGCAGAACTCGAGATCACTCCAACAATTCTCGTCCACGACGGCGTCAGGGTCACGGTTCGGGTCCATATAGACGGCACCGATGGAGGAGGTGATGACCACGCGCTTGACCTTGGCCTCGGCCGCTGCGTTTATCACGTTCTTGGCTCCATTCACTGCTGGCTCCACCATTTTCTCCTTTTAGCCATCCAAAGAGAATTAAAATAAACTCTACAACACTCACATCTTCGATGTCCCACAAAATAGTTGCAATGTTCATCTTACAAGTAAATGCTTTTACCAACTGTTATTACAAAACCAACCCATTTACCATAACTGAAACCTAAATCTAATGAGTAACTGACTCTTGTCGTTATACGTTGTCACAAGTGAATTGCGAATATCCCAAATTACACCCTAAAATGGCAACAGAATCATGTTTTCTTCTATGTTAAGGACAGCCACTTTATCCGGGAGATAATATGAAATCGTATAGTTAAAGTAACGCATGAGAACAAATAAGCTAAAATAAAGTGTGAAAAGATGGGGAAAATAGATTTCAAGGCAGATCCTTTTTTCCTGTAGGTCCCTCACTTTCCTTCATTTTCTCGCGAGCCACAGAAAGCGAGAGAAAGTGGCAGAAGAATCCGAGAAAATTATTATTATAATCGAAGGAAAGAAGGAGAAGAGGAGAAGAAGCTTACGGGATCGTCGGTGACAGGAGAAGCAGTGTGGAAGACGCCATCGCAGCCGTTGATCGCATCCCTGAGAGCATCGTAGTCCTGAAGGTCCGCTCTGCACAGAATCAGCCTCTCCTTCGCTCCTTCAAGCTCTCTCAGATGGCAATTCTTCGGATCATCTTCAAAAAATTCAAACCCCCCCTCCAATTAACCAATCAAATCAATGGATATGTGTATTTGTACATGCATGTGTGTATATAAGCGTATGGACACCTGGGTTCCGTACGGTTCCTCTGACGGTGTAGCCACGGTCGAGGAGCAGCTTGACGATCCACGAGGCGATGTAGCCGCCGGCGCCGGTGACGCAGACTGTTATTTCGGCCGGAGGAGGTGCGTCGACGGGCATTTTCCGGCGAATCGTCGGAGAGAGAGAAGCTTCAAATTTGTTAATGATTGATATGTCGTCTGGGAGCGAGTTCTGGTGGGGGGCGTGCGCGTGTATATATAACGGACTGAGAAGGGGTAACTAACCCTGGTCACACCTAACCATGGTTAAGAGCTGGTTAAGCATAATAAGATAATTAAAGAATTCTTTCTATTATAGAAAGAGTATGGGGTTGGTGAAAGAAGGGTTTTCTTTAAATTTATACAGATAAGTAATTGTGATGCCATGATATCATTGACCAATTGAAAATAGACACGTGTATGCTAAAACATCATATCCAAAGTTTGTGTTTAAAACGTGTACTCTATCATGTAAATAGATTCATGCATGTGTATTTCCGACAAATACATGAGTGTATACACACAGAGACAGGGATGGCAGACAAGACATACACAGTAACGCATATAAATACAGTAAAAACAAAGTGAGGCCAGTTAAAAACCAGATCCATTACAAGACAGAGATCCATCAAGTTCCTGGACAAGAACCCCACAATCTAACGAAAAAGGCTGCAACCATTACCAAACACACTAGTACGGACCCTTCTCTCTCTCTCTCTCTTGCATGATTAAAACCACCACACCACCTAACTACGCTAAGCACGCATTCATCATCTCACACAATGAGCTCAGTGGTCACTCAGATGAGAGCTGGTGACGCCTTCTACTTCCCTTGGCTCTGCATTCTGCTTTTTCTCGCATTCCGGGTCGTTTCCTCCTCCACCAGATTCTTGTTTTCCATCCTCAGACATGCTTTTGCATGTTTCCTCTTGTTTCTCTGCTTCAGTCATAGCCTCTGTCCCATCACCATTTGGTTCTTTGCCATCTGTTTCTGTTCCTTCATTTGGCTCTTCAACTGATTCCGGGTTTTCTTCCTCAGTAATGGACTCTTCATTCGGATCTCTCAGAGATTTCCCGTTAACTTCCCTCTTGGTCGTAGGTTCTTGAGCCTCCGGCTTTTGACCGTCACTCACTTCTGCTTGGTGAGGTTCAGCATTCAATTCCTTCAAGGACTTGAGAGTTTTCCCTTCTCTGTTTTCGGGTTCTTCGATTTCAGGCTTCAGTTCGCTCACCGGTTTCTTGAATGCTTTGCCCTTGACTCTTTTCGATTGTTTTTCAAACTCCATTTCATCGTCTTCTTTCTTCAGTGTCCTCTTTGATGATCTGCAACCATAAATGTGTACAATGATTCAGAACCAAGACATCTGACTTTATGCAATGGGAAGATTCCTGTGAACTTGAGGACACACCTTGTTTCTGAGGAACTGGGCGTGGGTCCATTTTTGTTTTTATGTGCTTTCTGTCTTCGCAGTCTGTGTGGCAGACAAAGCGAAAACCAAACATCAGAATTCAAATAGAGACACCAACAGAACAAGAAGAAAATGTAAGAGAACAAGCTCACATCATGAGAAGCTGACACATTCTCGTCCTAGTGGTTGGGATCTAGAACTAGAAAATTCGTTTAGAGTAATAGAAAACCATGAACGTCTCACTTACATGCCAGATAAAGTCATGGACTCCTCCGGGAGATCGGTTTCCTGATCCTGCTGATAATTTCGGGGAAATATAATCAAGCATCATGACGATATTTGTTTGGAAAGAAAACAAACAAAGAAAAACAGAGAAAAGGAGGCAATGTAGAAACCCATACCTCTTCGGCTGGAGTGCTGTCTTCTATGAACTCCCAACGTTCTTCTTCCAGATTAAGCATTTCATTTTCCCCATCAGCGTATAACACCTGCAGAAGATATCGGTAGCAACAACATTATAAGAACCAAAACAAATTAAATCTATGGCAAAACAGAGATATTATCTCACCAGGTGCTTCTTTTGTTGATCATCGTAAGAGTTTATAACGCCTTCATAAAACCTGTGCAGTGTAGAACCATAAATGAAACGGAATATATATATCGGTAAATCAAAATAAACAATGTAAAAGGTCTACAAAGTTTGAAGTTTTCCAATTCAACACAGGCAATCGAAATGGAAGATAATTGTACATATTTGGCGACGCACTTACGTCTTATCTAGAGGCCACCAGACCTTAATTCTCTTACCAACCAACTCTGCACCAAGGCCAGACATCTCAGCATCCTTAAAGCACCAAAACAACAAGTTATTGTAAGGGACACAGGCAACTATCAATACGTCTTGAAGGAGTTACAAAGTTAAAACAGCAAGGAGAGCAACAAGTATATATACCACTTCTTTTCTAGCAGTCCGTTTCCTCTTGGGATGGGTTTTGGGAGATTCCTCAGATCCTTCTCCCGAAGGTCTAGTTGCAATATGAGAAACCATCTTCTGCAGGTTCTTCGATCAAGATGAAAGTCCAAGTAAGTTTCAGAATTTGTACAGCTTGACAAGAGAAACTCTGTATCATCTGTTAGTACCTTGCTCTTAGATGATCGGGGAATAACCCCATCAGAGGTTGAGCCTTCTTTACCCTTTTCCTTAGCACCAGACTGAATGACCAATCCTTTTCCACTGGTCTTTACCTTCTTAGCTCCTGTGAGTGGCTTCTTCATGGCTTTTTCCTTCAAACAATTCTGGAGCACAGCCTTTCTGCCTGACTTGACAGCCTTTCGGCCAACTTCTGCTTTTTCGAAGTTCTCATGGTTTGACATCACCAGATATTCTTCATCACATGGCTCGGTCTTCATGGAAGCATGTAGCGAACTTTTCTTCTTAGCTTGAGTGGTTGATGTCTCTTTCTTTGCTGTGGGTGAAGAGAGAGAACTATCTTGATCTATCTCTTCTGTCTTAACCCGACTTCGTTTACGTGGTCCCCTCACAATTCCATAAGGCGAAGGGAGGGAAATAACAACGGACTGAGTCGTTTGACCGGCTTTAGATGGCAAACTCGTACTTTCTTCAGCGAAAGGTGTATTCTTGGCATCTGGATTTCCAAGAGATGAACCCCCTCGTCCTTTTTTACGCAGTTTCTTGCTTGAAGCCGCCTTAACTGAACCTCTTCCTCCAGATACCCAGGAATGGTCGTAGCCTTCCTCTCGATTCAGTAGAGAATTGGGTTTCCTTACCTTTCTTTTCAGAGTTCTCACTGATTCAGTCTCATCATCTGTGCTCTTCGGCTGCACTTTCTTAGAACTACGTTTAACCTCTCTACTTCTTTTGTCAACTTCATTGGCCTGCTTGGAACTATCATCGATACGTCTAGAAATATTTCCAGAACGAATTCGCTTACGTGAAAGCCCCAGATTTAATGTCTCCTGAATCAACAGATTTTAGAGCGATTTGGTTAAACAGCAACACTGACAAGACGTGGAACCGTGCTATCAAACAAAACGATACCTCCAATGAGTCACTTGGAATCGCTTGTCTTGTTGATCTCTTTTCATCTGCCTGAAACATGATGAGATCATAACATAGTCATGTGCAAAGACATAATTATACATCAAAGCATAGAGCTAAAGCATAATGAAGATCAACCAATACCTCATTTTCCTTAGCATTAACAATTTTACGTTCCTTAGCAATGCCAGATTCACTTTGGCATATTGACGAAACCACAGAAGAGTACAAATCCAAACTGTTCCCTGGGGATTTCATTGCTTCCACGATGTATGGTTTAATTTTACAAGCACATCTACTAAGAACGTTTTCCACGAGCTTCCAAGAAGTTGGTGAAATGTTCTGAAACATGGTCCCCAAAACTAATCAGATCTCAGGTCAATTGCAGGCAAGGAGATAAAGTTTAAAGAAGAAGAAACCCGACCTTGTTTTCCTTTCTGACACAAGCCAGGAGAACATTGAGCAAATCTGTGGAAACTTCTTCACTTTCATCAATTACCGTGATCATTATCATATCAATTGCCAGAAGTACTGCTTGAGGATGGTCAGGGCTAGTAGTTGAGCAAAAGAAAAATTATTAGCCCCTTCAGTATGATATAAATCATACCATTATCTAAGCCCATAGCCAAAGAAATCGTGTCTAGATATAAATTGAGCTGTTGAGTGTTGACCGGATTATCCCCGAGTATATGACCACACACACAAACAGAAAGAGTCATATATTGATCAGAGGGTTGAGTAGATATTGTACACGAGGTATTGCCAGTACCTTATGATTTTCAAGAGCTCTTGAAACATTTCTAGAATGAGCTTATCGCACTCCAAGTCCAACATCACCAAGCATGATCTGACCTTTGAAACGGTATCGAGTATCAATTCTGCTTTCTTGTAAGCGCGACAGGACACATCAGCCAACTTTCCAAAAGCTTCTACCGTCAGCTTAAAGATCTCCTGCAAACCAAAGAGTCAAACCAGAATAATGCATAAGGGCACATCTAGAGAGAGCCTGTAAAGGTACGAAAACAGAGTCGTAGTGTTAATCACAGGCTTGGATGTTTTACCTTCATTTGGTCATCATCGTAAGGGGCCTCTGGAGCAGTTATCCTTGTGATTTCGGTTAAACACGACACAACTGAAACCCTGACATCAGGGTCAGGGTGTCTCAAGAGGTCAACAGAAATCAAAGCCTTCATTGAAGGAAGTAAGGCATCTTGCATAGAGATTGGAGGGTCTTGCTCGACATTTGAGAGCAAACTCTCAATTTCCTACAAAGAGATGCACAGAGCTCAAATGGTTTAACAACAAAGCAACAGAAAGAATCACATTCCCACATAACCAAGCTTGCTAAAATCCTGAAATCTACCAACTTTACCAGATAAACAAATTCAACGCCTCACAATGTCCCAGAAAAACCTAGAGGGAAACTAGGAACTACAAATCCATTACCTAACAGTGATACAACCCATCCCATAGACGACAATTTTTACCAAACACTCATCCAAAAGCAGAAAACGCCAAAATTACAGAGAGAAACGAACCCTAATCCCATATTGTTAAACACCCCAACAAGAAATTTCACCAAAAGTTATAAGATGGCGAAGCAACAAAACCCATTAGTCTGAAATGAAGAACAGAAATCAAAAGGGACTGTCGGGGAGAGAATCAATACATCGAGGAGAGTGAGAAGCCCATCGGTTGAAGGCGGAGGGTTGAGAAGGCTATTCCCAGCCTCGACGAGTGTCTGAGCAAGTTCGCTCTCCGCACCAAAAGAACCCATTTTTCTCACGGAATCTCAGCTGCAAAACCCTAGAAAACAAGACAACATCGTCGGACTGCGGTTTCACAGGAACCTATTGGCAAGACAGCGTTTTAGGAAGAATCGCGCACTCGTAATCTCGTGGTCAATGGCAAGAAAGGCGAGAGCTTTCCGCTTTTCTGGGGTTTTAGCGAGGTGTTAAGCATGCAAACAATTCACATGGAAATGCCGAAGAAAAACAAAAATTATCAACAGACGATGTCCAAACAAAAATTCAATAAATTATTATTTTATTTTGTAACAAAAAAATTATAACTTTGTATAAGATAATTAAAAAAGTTGTGATTTTCTATTAAATATCTTAAAAATTAAAATTTTATTAAAAAAATATCTAATTAAAACAAACCGGTAGGTCGTTTTAGCTCTATGTAGATAATTTATGGCATTGGATGATATGGTAATTCTAGTATGGAAATTCTTAAAACCATTATTTTGTTTCCATAATCAACTAACCCTTATTTTCACAACCGTGCAACATGAATTATCAAAGAATTATTTATAATTTGAATTTCCACTGGTCCAAAAAGAAAAAAATCGTTTAGTTTTTAATCTACTACACTGAAAAATACAATCTTTCCGCGAAAAGTTACAAGATTTTTTTTTTACCAAAAAAAAAAGTTGAAAGATTTTTTTGTTACCCTCTAAACAAATGTAAGTGGAGACCTCAATGTAAACAAAAACATGGAGTTTCACCATTGTGAACCACATCATCATCATCGCCAGGTCCATTCGTGTTTGGAATCTCGATGTTGGGATTTCAATGGCCTGACTGTTACGTAAACAAGTGTATCATCCCAAAAACTTCGATAAACGTTTGCTAAAACGTGGGAAAATCTATGACTTCCAAAAACACTTTACCAGATTTTCTGCCATTTTATAGCCTTGCACGTGCGAGAACAGCTCCTAAATGGACGTCTCAACCTTTGAGTAAAACAAAATTATACGAATTGGCAAAGATTTCAGCTTTAAGACGAGCAAACAAAGCATTCAACTTTAGGAACAAAAAAAAGGCTGTCTGATGGGTCTTGAGGAAAGAGTAGCATTAACACAAAAAATCTGGTTCCAGACAAAATCTCAGAAACGTCCACTACGGATCAAAGATTGAAACCAAGTAAACAAGAGGAAGATAAAGGGCCACAACCAAGAAAAAAGCATCTCCATTGTCATATAACCATTATCCGAATTCGACATGGAATGCTTCCTCCCTGATTTAGTGAGACTCTAGGTGCTTCCTCACTACGTTGAGGGCAGTTGTCTCCTCACCATAGTCCTGAAAGACGATTAGCCAAAGTAAAATTCGGCTTTGAAATGGCACAAAGAACAGGAGATCCTCACATTGAAAAAAAAAAACAAGACATTATCCCATGAGAAAGGCGGTTAGGAGTGTAAAGATCGTACCTTTACCACAACACAGGAGCATCCAACAACTTTCCTGGCTTTGCCCTCAGAATCAATCTTGCAGAGCTGCAGACACAGTTACAAAAACATAACCCCACATAAAAAATTTGGTCACTTCCAAGGGGAGAAGAGATGAGTATAAGAACCACCCAAACACATCACCATATGACAAGGGTAATCCATATTTACTAAACAGAAATCTGAAATAAAGGACTTACACCAGCCCATTCACCAAGGGTCTTGGCATCTGGAACAGTGAGCAAGTTAATGTTATGGTCAGCACAAAGAGCTTTGACCAGCTTGACATAGTCGGGCTGGTCACAGCTTTCAGCCAACACACACAGCTGAGCGACACGCTTCTCGATGAGCTTGGCGCATTCATGAAGACCACGGGTCAGACCACCATGAGCACGTGCCTTCCTAAGGGTCAGCTCCAATGCAGTCATGAGGTCCATGTCCTCAGGGATGGCAGCTGCCTCAGCAACTGGGGTAACAGCGGGAGCAGCCTCATCACTGCACAACCAAAACTATACATTCTCAGAGAAACGCAACTAAAATATCCACATTGACATTGTTCAAGGTAATATTAGGGCAGATCTCCACATTGTAGATATAAAGGACCAATCCAGTTCGAGTCCCCACCTGGTGGGGTGCTGTAGATACACAAAACTTAATTTTGGAAGATGAGCACACAGGAATCATCAAGCATTAAAAAACATAGTGCAATCACCAATATTAGTAAAATCAACAATATGAATGAACCGAATCAAAATACGGATCTTCGCCGAACATAAAAACCTCAATCATCAAAGAGAAGTATGACACATGATACAAGGTAGAGTTTGTGCGAGGATATATGAACAAGAATCAGGGCCCAAAGCTTGGAAGTTCAACCGAACCCATTGATAAAAATTAAAACCCTACGAAACAATATCATTGAACAACAACATGACAAAGCAGGTAAATTCTTTGCACGCAGATAACACAGGAAAGAAGCACAACTTATCGGACAAACCATAAAATAAACAAATCAGTAGACTGACAAGGGAACAAGAAACAAAGGGGCTACAATACGAAATACACATACCCAGACATTCTCTTCGAAAGACCTTTGAAGATCAGAATTCTCTCTCCCTCTCTGTAAAGAAGAAGCAGATCAGACGCAGGAAGATGCTTCTAAATCAAAATCATACGGATACCAAAACCAGATCGAAACCGCGCGAAACAAGCAAGTTGGGAGAGGCGAAAGAGATACTACGATTAGACAAGACTCACCTCGTCGGCTTGGTAGCTGCAGCGAACAAGAGATAAAATTAGAGACGAAGCGGCGATTTTATAGAGGGACCTTAAACCCTAGAAGGGGGGCTTTTAGGTCATTTTCTTTTCCTTTTTTTAAATTAATTTTAGGAGTTATGTAGTTTTTTACTTTGGCAAAATTCCCTATTCCATTCAATTATGTAAATTCAGAACAAGATTAGCAGGCAGAAGAACAGATTTCAAACTTTGAAGCTTGCTTGTGATCAATCAATCATATATTTCTTTCTTTCAATTCATTAATTTCATTCAATTATGTAGAGGCTCTAAAGAAAGATTCCTCTATTTTTTTTTTCAAATTTGATTTGAGTGAGCAAAATGTCCATTATCAACTCCTAAGCCGTACAAAACCCCAGAATACTTCTTCAGACAACCAATGAAGAAGTTCTCCTTCAGCTTCCTGTAAGAACGTAGAGTGAGCAAACTATCTGAACCAGCTTGGTGACAGACCCCGACACGTTCTACCTCCAGAAGCTCGGCGAGCTTGTTCAGTCCGCCGTGGAGGCTGTTGCAGAACCTCATCAGGTGTTTGATGTCGTAAAGAATCGGGAAATACATGTTGATCAGCTTGAAGAATCCTGATTGCATCTCGGGCAGATTCCGATTTGTCAGGAGCTTCAGCAACCCGAAATCGTACCCACTGTGGAATGTCACCCATTGGATGTCCTCGTTGAGTACTAACCCTGATGATATCAAGAGCTCGGCGAATCTCCCAGAGTCGATGCCATTCTCGTTGTTCTTTGTGAAATCGATGCCTGACTGGCGAAGAAGCTCGATGGAATCTTGGGAGTAGATGTCGGAGTTGGGATCGAATTCCCGTAAATTGAACTGCCAGATGCAGTGCTTGTCCGTTCCACAGGTCGGGAGGTTGCCATTCTCGTCGGAAAAGGTGAGTCCGATTTGAATCAGCTTCAACATGTTCACGTTCAACTTCAAGGTCTCGTAATGGTAATCATTGCTTGTCTTGAAGATCCCTACCGATCTGCAGACTATTCCCGGGAACTCCGTGTCCATGGAGACGTACGGGAAATCATCTACGATTTGTCGAATCAGAGCGAACTCCTCTTCCAGATTGTCGTTCCAGACCTCACAAATCTGGACCGAGTCGTCCTTCGGAAGAAGCGACATCACTCTGCCGATGGTCGAAAATGTTTCGGGCTACAAAGTTCACCAGCATCTGGATGACGATGAAGACGGAAGAAATCGACACCCTAGAACGGATCTAATTCAATACCCGATCCGGTTTCTGCTTATCTGCGGATAATCCAACACCAATGATCAACACCACAATCACCAAATCCGAATCATAAATCGCATGGAAATCCCTTATCTCACACTCGATTCGACGAAACCGATCATAAACACATATCAAATCCCGCGTGCTCAAGCACATATTCACACGCGTGAAGAATCATACACATCGACAATCACATATCTACGTACGTGTATATATACATATATATATAGAGAGAGAGAGAGAGAGAGTTAGGGAGAGACAAAGGCGTTCGTGGCGATGATACGAACCTGGGGATCAGAGCGAAGGAGATGGAAAGTTCTGGAGAAGGCGAGGCTAGGGTTTTCAGGGGATGTGGTGGTTTATTGAAGGTCGTGGCGGGGAAGAAGAGGACGTTAAGAAATGGATTTTTTTTTCACCTCTTTTTAGCCCCCCGTTTTTTAAAATTAAAATTTTCTTGAATCTTTCTTTGGTTGAATTTGTTTCCGTTCCGTTTCCCACAAAATTTCGAGTTTCCTTTTCACCCCCAATTATTTATAGGGCTCACATTTTCTCTTATAAGAGAATCATTTTAATTTTAAGATAGTGCTACTAAGTAGAAATAGAAATATGCAAAAGTAAATAAAAATTATGTCAGCATACCAAACCCACAAATTATAAACCATAATATTTTTCTAAAAAAAATCCCCAAAAAAATGGTGCACATATCATATGTAGTTGAATATATTCTAAGCATAACAACGATAATTATCATACAACTGCAAAGACTGGACAAAAACATCCATAAATTAGATACATAGGATAATGAGTAAGATTCATGTTAGTGAAGGATACAAATGCCCTCCCACTACATCTGATCAGAATATACAAAACATAGAGTCTAAGAGTAAACACAATGCCTAGTTCAGGCATATCTTAGGACAGAAATCCGTCCTCTTTTCTTCTTCTTTATCCATCCAAACCCTGCATCAGAGAAACACCAGGCTATGATATGATGGTGATAAACTTCAGATCATACTTCACACCATATATATATATGTATGTATGTATCCGAAATTGTGTTGGATTATTATTTGTCCGACTATTTCATCATCCATGGGTGTCAATCTGGCAAGTTGAGCGAAATCCGGAAGCACAAATCATGAAATGGATCATTCCTACCATCCTATTGGTTGAGATGAACTATATCCATTCCTACCATCAAAGTATGTCCATATGATGCAGATGGATCAACTAATGGAGAACGAAAAGCGTACCCTCAATTTCTCTTCCTCTTAAGATTTTTGATGCTGTTCGCGATGTATGCAATCACTTCCTTTAACGTCGCTTTTCGTCCTTCTTTGAAATTCCAAAGCTCTGGTACAACATACCTTCCGCTTCCATTATACTCGTTAAGCTCCTCAAGTGCCGTCTTAACTGCATTCTGTACCTCTTCTCCCCATTCCTCTTTAAGCTTCTTGAGCTTCTCGTCTTCTTCATCTGCCACCTCCTGCATTGACACACCATCATCCATACTACCGATTCAGAAATGTACCTCCTGCATTGTTTATCCTCTTCTTCTATTACTCTGTTACAGGTTTCTAATCAACAATAATATGTTAAACAGAATCTAATTTTTTTTTTCCGATCAAACTGCTCTCGAAGAATGCACCTGCAGGATGCCAACTCAGCAAGCTAATGACAGTACAGAATGTGGCAGAGACACGGGGAAATAATGCAAGTGGTGGAACATTGGGAGAAAAACGAACCGTGGCTTTTCCCCCATAAGTGGTGATTTTAAACGGATGCCATGCTGGATCTTTGAGGTTTTCCTGCCATTGTGAGCAAAGCGTGGCAGCCTGTATCACAGCTTCTTCAGGAGGGAACCTCTGTTTGCACACGACTTGGAAGGGCTTGTCGTCAATCTCTCCCATTCTCTTTACCCCGATATTTGTACCGTTACCCAACAATTCTGGCAAACCCTGTATGAAAGAGAAGAAATTAAATGACTCTATTCACATGGAGAGCCCCTTATTGAGTACGGACACAAGCAAAAAGACTAAACACTTGCAGCTAAGATTCAACGACATGGTTGCCACAATCAGTATGGTAATTAATAGACAAAATGTAATGGTAAGAATCTGCAAGTGTCATTGAGTTCAACTGGCAGTTGATTGACTGTAGTTAGAGCATGCAAGAAGAAGATATATACCGCTATCAATGCTTTCCTCGCAACTTGTATCTCGTCATTACTTTGACGTTCTTTAGTCATGAGGTGTGTATTCATGAGCTCCATGTCTTCTAGCTCAGATTTTTTTTCCTCCAATTCTTCATTCATTTCTTTCATTTTCTGTTTCACTGCTTCATCATCTTGATCCTCAAGATGCTTCATGACTTGTAATTTCCCTTTCAGCTCTTGAATCTCCATCTCAAGTTTCTGCTTGGTGTCTAGCTGCTTCTCAAGCTCAAGAATTTTTTTCAGGGCCTCTTCTTTTTGCCTCTGGAATTTAAAAAGAAAAGAATTCCAAGATTAAACACAGATAAAGGAACTTGTTTTCTAGAACTCCATCCACATATGCAAGAATCTGATTCGAGCTGTGAAATATATAACACACCTTATGTTCATTTACAAGTCTCAAAACATTCTCGTCAGCCCTCTTCTGCTCCTGGGAAGCTAACTGAAGCGAGCAGTTCATTATATCGCTCTGCCACAACAAAACAAGACATAAATACCGTTAGGAACCTAAAATACGCATATACAGACATATGCACATATAGATCATTGCTAGTAGATTAAAGTTTCAAAGGACTACAAAATATTGCCTTCTTCTTGTCTTCTTCGAGTTTCTTCCTCTCAATTTCAGTTAGAGCTTCTTTTTTCTCCAGCTCTCTGCTCCAGCCCTTGAGCTTCCTCATTTTCTCCTCCAGCTCATCGCTCAACCTCTCCTTTTCTGCGAGGATTCTCTGGATATTGTCACGTGAGATCTTCTGCATCTTCTTTCTTTCTGAAAGGGAGAACAAAAATGAAAAAACTTAACACATAGACCTAATGATTTTGGGTTGTAAACGTTAAAGGAGCTAAGATGTTTTATTCATCCCCATTAAAAGTTTCTAAAAGCTCAAGTTCCTACATGGACAAAACTACTTCACATGAGAGATTGATGAATCATGCCTATATTTCCAATGCACAAAGAAAACAGAAACTTGTTGCAAACCTATCAAAAAAATTCCATGCAGATTGTCTTTCTCTTGGAGCACCCGACTTAGTGACATTGCCTCCACATCATATTTGTACTGGAGTTTGTTGAGATCCTCATTTGTCAAGGCAATTTTAGTTGTTAGACTTTCCAGTACACTGTTTCTATCCTGCAGTGCTTCCTCGACGATATCAGAAATTGTGCTCAGCTTTCCCTCCTTTGAAAGGTATTCCCCTATGGGCCCAGAAGATTTGTAATCATCTGCACGTGCAACCCACCCATAGCCCTTGGAACCAAAATCCCCTCTCTTCACGGCCAAATCCTTTTTGCCGCATCGCTCAGTTTCAAACTCCTTTTCAAACTCTGTGGCATTTACAAACCCGTTCCAGTCTCTATTGAACTTCACAATAACATCAACTTCAGAATCCTGTTCATTCCAGAAGGATTCCACCCCAAGAGGCGTGAACTTAGAAAGCCTCTTCAACCAATATCCTGAGTCAAGCAAAGACTCCTTATCATCTGATCTATTTACTGGGTTGACAACTATCCCCATCCATGGCCAGACGTAAATATCACCCGGTTTTGGCTCTAATTGCTTAGACAGAGGAACTGGAGGGCATGGAAGACGTTCCGCATCACCAGCTAGATCTTTCTCCAGGTAGTTTGCCAAAGCAAGATGATTAGCCTTTTGCTTTGCACTTCTGTTGGCAGATCCTCTGGCAACACCAGAAGCATGAGCAAACAACTCCTTGTACTTGTAATCTTGCTTTTTCTTGCCCGAACAAAACGGGCATCGCAGAGTTCCATTCACCTTAACTTTGAATTTCCCACTCTGTAGAAGTTTATATGGCTTCTCAGAGTACTCATCAATCTCTGACTCGCTAATCTCTGACTCGACATCAGAATCGGTATCCATCTTAGCTCAGCTGACCTGGAAACACAGTTTAGGAATCTCTTGAGACGGAAAGTCTACCTCACAAGAATTAACATAAGCAATCGACAAAATTAATTCATGCCTTCATGGTACCAGTAAACGAAAAACTAGTCTCAGCATTCTATAACCACAGAAAGTTTGACTTCGATATCAACAATGTCCTAATGCCAAGCAGAAATTATGTACATTAGCACTCATGAAACGCTCAGTCTGTGGAGAAAACTGTAGGTACAAGCAAGATCAGCATACACATACGATTGGTAGGCTAAATCCAAAGAACTTCAAATGGTTCCCATAGGGATTGATAACATGCATTATCAAATGGAAGAATGTAATGGTTCCAAGCAGAACTTACACGAAATTAAGTACAGTCTGATAACGGATATGCACTCATGCAACACTCAATTTGTAGATAGCATATAAAACCGAAGGTACAAGTATAATAATAGACATGCATTATCATTTCCAGTGAAAGAACCATACACACCGACAATCACATATCTAAGTAGTGTGTATGTGTGCGTGTGTGTATACAGAGAGAGAGAGAGAGAGAGAGAGAGAGAGGCGTTCACAGCCATGTTTCAAACCTGGAAATCAGAGGGAACTTGACGGGAAATTCTGGAGAAGGCGAAGAAGCTAGGGTTTTCAGAGGATGTGGTGGTTTATTGTTCTGACTTCTGATCGTCGGGGGGGGGGGGGGGGGGG